AAACGATGGTTCGGCATACGTAACACATGTCCCAACCAACGCAGCTTCTGGTGCTGGACACATTCTTTAATGGAAGTACCCGTTACACAACCGAAAACGCGCTTCCTAACTGCCTCGTTACGGATTCACCGACACCAACCCACACGAGCTATGGTTCTGAGACAACGATTGTCGAACACCTGAAGATGTCTCAGCTCTGCTGCTCGAATAGGCCAAGCCTCACAGTTATACAAAAAAAGGAAAGAAGAGAAAAAGGGTGGATGGGGAAGGGGACCTAGTGCTGGCCTATGTCAAGCATTCTGAGGTGCCTACACATCCAACCGCTCAATCAGACAGTCTGGAGAGAAACTGACAGCACGAACGCCACTGACATCGATTAGCCGCCATTTCTTGCAACGTCTCCAGCCAAGCACAGACGGGAGCACGGGGACCCCATCCTGGAAGGCATACAACACCCAAACTCTTCGTGATCTCTTTCACGCCTTTCTGCCAAGTCATGTGCTGTCCACCTCGCGGTTTGCGCCATACAAGACGACGGAAGCCTCCGTCGAGTCAGTCATCAATTGATGAGCTACCCAATACGTAGCCACCTGATGTGGTTTCCGTGGTTAGGGGATGAGTGGTGCTATATCCTGACTGCTGCTCACCTCGCGGTTTGCGCCATACAAGACGACGGAAGCCTCCGTCTGATGAGTCATCAATTGATGAGCTACCCAATACGTAGCCACCTGATGTGGTTTCCGTGGTTAGGGGATGAGTGGTGCTATATCCTGTCTAACTGCTGCTCAGCCGCTCTTGGCTAAGCGCTTGTGTTCCAATTACTAGCCGGTAGGTCGAAGTTTCGAAGCTCCCTTGTGCTTTTGAGATGCGCACTGTTGATGATTTCCAGTAAGTGCTTTTCGGCTTCAGCATAAATTGGCTTCACACACAAGACGAAATCTCAACTGAAATTTGCGTTTTTGTTTGATTTCATCCATTAAAATCTGCTCATTGGTTCATGCTCCGGTAACTTGCTGATATCTGGACNCTAGTTTTGGTAGATTCCTGCTGCAGACGGAAGGGTTGAAAGGACTCATAGTAATACACCTCCAGGCCTTTAAGTAATGCTTTCATTTGTTTCGAAACTATTGACGAAGTTTCTCCCATTTCCTTTCCAGGGTCGACTTTGAACTGTCCAAATGAGTTTCATGATACGTCTGGGCACTTTTTTGCTCTATTTGACGTGTTTTGGGTCATTTATCGACGCTCCGCCACCAGCCGGTATGTGCGTGACATCTTCACTGTGCGATGCAACAGTTTCCTCTGTCCGTTTCATGTAATCAAAAGCCTACTTAGAGCGAGTTCACATATACAGTGAAATGACATCCACAGCACTTAATTACTGGATCGACGAAAAATGGTCGCCTTCAGGGCGTGGATCTAATAGGAGGACGTTGTAACACTGATTTTCCGTGAACTGAAATGCAACCCATATGACATTTGAGTTTTCTCACCAATTTTTTGGGAGTGGGGTGAGAAACCTTCTAACTGGTTATTAAGTGTTAATTCTTTTTTTCATTTTTTTGCTACTGAATAAACAAAGACTCAGTCCATAAGACTCGTAACGTCATCTTAGTGGGACCAACCAGAAATGATCACTGAAGAGGTGGTAATTATGGAAAGTTGTATTATGTAAGAGTGGTATCCAGAGCCTCAAGTAATATTTTATAGGGTGAGATCGCTCAAGTAGTTAGAGTGCGAATTTACTGGCCGTGAGTTCCGTTGTTCGAACCCGGCCTCGGCCTCGACTTCCCCTGTCTAGGCTTGGGCGACCTGATAGTATCCCAACCTTCGTGCTTCCTTCGGATGGCATGGCAGCTAGGCACCGGAAGTGTTACAGCTGTAAGATTATTATTTTATTAGTACTATTTTGTAACGACTGCTGGATATTTTTGCCATATAAATCTATCGGTCCATCACGAGTGGACATTTTATTGACATCTGTTGAACATTTCTATTTACATCTGTGATTCTTTTGAAACCCCCTTGTTTGACTTCTCTGGCTAGCGTCAAACGAAAAGCTTCCGAGTCGTCCTTTGCTCCCATTATAGAGTGCATCAGCGATGCATATGCCCGGTCGCACTGAGATTTTAACTCAAGTCGTATGGTATCAAAGGCGAGCTTCTTACAATTAATCTACCAGAAAATGATGTATGCACCTGAATTTCAGCGTCGAAGCAGACGTCCCTGTTCATACTTGAACGATTTCTGGTCTTGCCTCACTCGCAGTGATAAGTGAAACCCGGCTCCAATGTTTCCTTTCTTAGGGTAGCCTAACCATGGTAAGTATGTTGGAAGAAAGAGGACTGTGGAGGACAATTTCATTGCCATTTGAACAAATTTCGCAATCGCCTTAACGTAATCGCGAGTTGTATGGCAAGTCTAAAGTGTCAGTTGTGCTACCTGACCGACAAGTTCTGACAGACGACTCATAGGTCAGCATAATCAGGACAGTCACTGGGTTTCCATTCAAAGCATTAGGCGAATACACATGCTGCTTGACCGTGCAATTGTTTACTTGGCTATACAGAAGCGTTCGACATGCGCTGGCGCAGTAATGTTGGAACACTCCCTGTATGCCATATGATTGGGATCCAGATCTCATTGCTGTTAAGCTCTCACGAGAGAGAACGTCGACTCGACTGCTTGTGCGTCGTGACCATAATTACCTTAGCATGTGCAGGACTCTTTGGATGCCGCCCAATTACATAGTCTTCTGTAATGTTTTTCACACCTATAGCACTTCCTCTAGGCACAGCTCCTCCGACTGAGAATGGTCAGCTCCAACCTATCGCTCTCACACCGGAATGCAAACAAGTGGTGGCACTCCACTGCTCCAAACACATGGATTCGGACTGGGAGACACTTGGCTGTTTGCAAGTAACTCGCTGTTCGTCGCTCACTTCATATTTTTGTTCATCTTCCATAGTCTGATGACGCCATCTTACAGGATGTTAGTGTCGAATGTCAGAACATTCTCTGGCAACGCAAGTACATTCTTACCCAAAAAGCAGTATTCGAAAAGGATTTGCCTTCGAATTGCATTGGGGAGTTCAGAGAGATATCCGAGTGTAACTCACTCATCAACTCGACGTTCTACGTTCCTTGTTTGATTGAGAACAAGTATATGGTAAATCTTATGTTTTTCGACCGAGTAAAATCTATTATCTCCGCAGATAAAAAGCCCTGGATGCCGTGCGAAATTGAACCAGGAAGCTATCTTCGTATTTTCTGATTATCGCTTGATCTACCACTTTGTCGAGGCCTGTGGACAAGACATCAAGAGTTTGGGATGCGGTCGTATAGAGATTGGTCCTGAGTCACCAAAGGAAGAGCGTGACCACCTAAGTGTGA